TGTCTTATCATAAAGTGGCTATTGGGATTCAATGAATCAAAGAATGTGATGTATATAACTAGAGACTTTCAAACAAGATCCGATATTACTCACCTCATATATATAGCTAAATGTGAGTTTGCTTAGCAATAACAAGACCCAAAAGAGTGTATACCTACAACAAAACATACCTTTAGAATCACATTCAAAATATACTAGAGAAAGAAACTAGCTCGATGTTAAGTATACTAAATACTTCAGGAGAGAGAGTTGGCTTTCTTGCATTCCTCGTCCAACAAAAAGTCTAGGCTGCAAGGTATATGGAAACGGAAGCAGGTTAAGTGGTAATGAAAAATTGTACATGGGGAATATATATGGTAGGCATAATGGGGTCCATTATTGGATTGAGTCAACTAAAACAGTCTGAGACTGCTAATGAAAGGCCTGCCTAACACCTTGTTTGGATGGAAAGAAAATATGGAGAGGAAGAAAAGTAAGAGTGGAAATTGTAAAATAACTATTTTACCTTGTTTGGATTTAAGTGGAAAATGGGACAAAGGAAAGTAATGTTACCCCCAATCTCTCCAATTTTGATAGAAAACTGACTAGAATTCTTATTTTCCTTTTCTTCCATTCTCTCCTTGTTTTACATCATTCCAAACAAGAGGAAGAAAAAAGTGGGAGGAAAGTCAAATTTATTTTCCTTTATTATTTTCCCCTAGTATTGTCCTTTCCCGCTATGAAAAAAATTCAAACATTGCCTAACAGTCAAAGATGACTGACTTCACTGCTTTGGATAAATTTCATTATATCAGATTGATCCAATATGCAGCGCAAAGATAGTTACAAAAGAACTTAATTATGATAATGTGGTCGGACAATACTGTCAGGCAAGCTATGGAGCAGAGTACAGATTTTTACCTGTGTCCACCAAGATAAAATAATGCATACACGGGAATTGGAGGTCTCAATGTATTTCCCAAGCACAGGCACAAGAAACAGAATCATGTCAACAGCATTAGTCATCAAATACAATGCAACTGCAACCATATAGGAGGAATAACACCATTCTCCAAGCCAGCTTCCACCATCTGCTGAGTAACAAGTATATTTTTGTCGAGAATTTGCATAAAATATAGGAAGAATGATGGTCCATATCACAGCAACAACCACCTTCAGTAGACATTTGATGGTTTGAGCAGCGTTCAATGTGTTTCTTGCTTTCCATGTAAAAACAGTGTCCAGAATAGCTGCAAGGAATTTGTACATCTTGAGTTCTTCCATGTAAAGACTGTCAATAAAAATGCTTACATAAAGATTAAAAGTGATTAAAATAAAAAGTGGAAGTGTTTAGACTAAGAAAGAGTCAAGGAGAGCAAATGTAAAGGTAAATCTTACAAGGTCATGACTATAAATCTCCAAACTTTTCAAGCAAAAAGGATCAGTTTCTCAGCTCTAATATTAGCACGAAAAGCAGGATGCTGCCTATAAACCATCTAAAACTTAAGGCATGAGCTTAGGGACCTCAGTGCCATTTGGTATTACTGTTGGTGTTCATTCACCTATTTTAGTAGTATTTTTAGAGTAATCTTTAAACACGTTTGCTTAAAGTGCTTTCTCATAAGAACTGTTTTAATTTTGAAAGCTAAGATAGATCCTTAGTGTCCCATTTAATTCCCTAGTTGTATTACCTAAGAATTTAATCTTATACATTGCGAGTCTTCTACTTAGAGAAATCATACCATGTACTAGTTTAAGGACAGCTGATGTGATGAAGATACTCATAACATCCTCGAGTATTGTAGCCTCAAAAACTTGTAGAAGAGACTCTAAATCATGGCATGCCATAATTACCATAGCCTAAAAGAATGTATTAAAAAAGAACAAAGCGAACAAGTGTTAGTAATTTTGTTACCTTTCATATGACTAAAATCAATTGGAAACACAACATACCTGAAGTGAAAGGAGAAGAAAGCTCCATAACCTATCAAAGCTTCTAAAAATCTGCCAAAATGAATGAATCTCAACAAAATTTGTCTTCCCTAACCATTTTTGTTCCTTTACCTCTTCNTATTAAAAAAGAACAAAGCGAACAAGTGTTAGTAATTTTGTTACCTTTCATATGACTAAAATCAATTGGAAACACAACATACCTGAAGTGAAAGGAGAAGAAAGCTCCATAACCTATCAAAGCTTCTAAAAATCTGCCAAAATGAATGAATCTCAACAAAATTTGTCTTCCCTAACCATTTTTGTTCCTTTACCTCTTCCGCTTTCAACTGGAGATCACCACAAAAAGGGTTTTGAGTATCTTTGTATAAAACTACAGAAGGGAAAACCCATTTATGAGGGAAGAAGAAGTGAAGAAACAAAATTATGTTATAATAAGTCTTATTATGGGAATATGTGTGTCAACGCATTCTCGGATGCTGATTTGCTGGTTCACCAAGTGATCTTGTATGGAGTTTTGTGTATTTATAGGAGGAAACTTGTTTAGATGGTCTTATAGTATGAAGCCAATGTATCTTGTTTGTGTAACTAAAATTTTAAAGAGTGATTGATAAGAAACACTAGAGTCAGCTCAATACTTCAAGAACACAACATGATATACCCACCTGCTATGCACTATCAATCTACTCCAGAATTAAAAAAAAATAGTTAGCTTTAGTATTCTTCTAACAAGAACAAAACCATAGATGCAATATTTATTTGATACCAAGATTATATATATGGAATATATTACCCCCATTCCTTCATCTTCATTATCTTCATCTTTTTTGTCAGAATCAACATTTACAGCTGGAATCCGAACCTTTTTCACTCTCCGATGCGGTGCAGATTTTACACGAAAGAAGTTATGGTCCAGGCGCATGGGCCAGCCTATTTGGAAACAAGATATGGACCTGAAATGTATGCGATAAGTACCTCTGAACTAACCACACATCAGAGTTGTAACATGAAACTAAACATATACTGAAAGTTTACCAGAAAAACTCATTGAGATCATCATAGTTTCTCCAGGTTGAATGATTTGTTGCACCATTTCTGTTCTTCATAGCTTCCTTGAGCATTTGACATTAAGGAAGAAACCAGGCCGGTTAGACAGAAAAGTGGACTGCTATTCTTTCGTATTAACCAAAAAAGTGGGTTACACCACCTTTTTCTTAGATAGTAAGATGAGTTGTAATCTGAACTTCACCGGTACCTCTTTTATTACTTCATAAATTGGTGAAACTACATTTTTAAGAAAGGACTCATATCCTCCTCCGTAAGCTGGCATAACCTTTTCTCCGGTTTTCAAGCTTACAGCACCAACCAACATGCTGTGCAATTCATAGGCCATCTAATGCATAGATAACACATTCAAACCAATATACATTTAGTATTTACATAACACATGCATAGTCAAAATCACCGTTCAGCATTAAAAATTCATATAATACTATGCCATATAATAGTCTGAGTTATATTCACTGTTTAGCGTCTATGAAACATTCAGTTCTTGCGTAAATTGCCAAGATAAAACCAATCCAAGCTAAGCCCTTTAGGTGGGGCCGGCTATATATTTCCACATGACATTTTCCCCCATTTAAGAACCATCTCCCCTATAAGTCTCACACTCACAACTCACAAGGTTTCTTAACTGTCTCTGGCTGATAGAACTCAAGACTGGTGGGGAAAATAAATGAAGGATAATCTTTATCAAAATATGAAATCATGATCTAACTCCAGAAAATGATAAAGATGAATGAAAATCTTTATCAAAATATGAGCAATAATCTTAAACTCATATAAGTAACAAAGCCAAGAAGAATCTCCAGTAATAAATATTGAATTACTTTCTGGGTCCACTCACACATTTGATCTGGGTCCACTCACCACATTATTTAGCAACTCCTCCTAGAATTTAGGTCCACTCACACATTATTTACTACTTAATACGGAGTAAATAACATATATAAAATAAAACATTTGATCTGTCTCTTTTATAAATATTAACAAAATAAATTAACAGCATAGGTGGCACTCTATAATTATCCCTTCCTTCAAAATTTGCCTTGTCCTCACGCAACCAAATTTAAGGGGCTGAGTAAGAGCACCTATGCATTATTTGAAATACTCCGTACTCCGTATGAAGTAATTGAGATCAAACATGCACAATTGTTCTGACTTGACGAAGAACTAGAAATGAAAAACGAAGAAAAATAGCACAAGGATCCTAACTTACGTGATGAAATATGTAACATAGGCACTCTGGCATCAGCCGTAAATTAGCAGCCTCTCCCCATATTAGAAGATAAAGCCCTATATACAAAAGCTTGTACTGCTGGGCCTCCTGTTTCAAGTGTGGCAGTCTGCATAATAATGAAATAAGAGTTGCCAACTGTGACCAAATCATGATTGAGAAGAATTACATTTACATAATACTCTGTATACCTTACTACCAGTATCCCATTTTAGAAGTCTCACTTTCATGTGTTGTTTTTGTCACAAATGTGTTCACTTTTGAATATAGAACAGTACTAACATTTTCCAATTTAAACTTTTACTATTTGACGTGTGGACTAATTTTTACAACTTTTAATGATTGGTACATAGTTCATACACAACGAACAACAACAACAAACAAGTCTAATCCGTGGCTCAAGATGTATTCAACCTTACCTCTGTAAAAGTTGTTTTGGTTAGACCCGTGATGCATTAATGAACTTACTACAACACTTCATAGAAAGTAAGAAGCAAAATAATTTTATGTGTCATTTTTATTTAGTCTATTATTTACCTGAAGCTAAAAGATTGTCCAAAATGATTCTTTTAGCTCCATCTACAAGAGAAAATAATACTCCGTATTGGAGGTCATATTTACAAATTGAAACATATCATTTGGCTATTTCTTAAAAATCGTGTAAAAAGCAATCAAGACCTTTAAATTGGGTCACATGAAAGACTCCTTAATATCTAGGGTTAGTTGCATATTCGGTCCCTATATTATGCGTGACGAGCGGTTTTAGCCTATGATTTTCTATGTTTATAATATAGTCCTAGCTCATTTCCAACTTTATCGCTTTTAGTCGTGGACCCACATCGGAAGAAAAAGAAACAAAGTACAAAAATATAGAAGTTGAACCCAACTCCATTAGTATGAGGCTTTTTGGTAGGTGACCAAAAGCAAATCTGTGAGGACTTGGACCAAATAAGACAATATCATACTAATGCGGGTAAGGTACGCGCCATCCCAACATGGATATTGTGTTTTCGTCTCTAACCTAAATTCTAAAAAGCATGTTTTCCTCTTTTTTGGGCAGGGAGGGGCGGGGGTGGGGGGGTGGGGTGATGGCTGTGGTGGGGAGTGATGTTGCAATGATCAAAGTCCAAATACAATACAGCAAAATTACCTAATGTTGCTTTTTCTGTCCACAAACTTGCACCAATCTGAATAATTTTTAAAGAACTTCTTCATGAGCTCATCAACAGCAAAATCAACTACCTATACAAATATAAGAAAAAACAAAATAGAATTAAATATGAATAATATAATCAATTTTTTTTTTGCAAACAATGAGCAACGCAGTTGATACCTTTGAAGTTAATGTTTGCTCATGAGCTTGCCTGATATGGATGTTAGCAATAAGCAGTATCAAATGTTCTCTCTGGTTGTTAACGTTTCCTTTCTGACACAAAAAATAATAATTTTATATTGGAAAACATAAATATGACACAAAATAACTGGTGCTTACAATAATTTAACGAGTCTTCTCAACATGGTTTTTAAAAAAAAAATTGCATATAGATGAGCAAAGCTTCTTTCTCTTTTTAAAGTTAAACTACCTCCGTCCTAAAATAAAGTTCTAGGCTTGACTCAGCACACTTGATAAGAAACTGAAATTGTGTGGTCGAGATTTATGGAGAGAAAGAGAAATAATATAACCCACACAGTTCAATTCTTTCCTTGAAACAAAACATGAACCTTATTTTGAGACGGACAGAATAGAAAGCGGGGTCTTATTTTAGGATAGAGAGAATATTTCTTCGGGGAGGGGGAGGGGTGATTAGTCTCATAGAAGTACTTGAAATCCAAACCAAAACTGGAGCCAATCAAACAAATCCATGTAAGCAATTCGCCGTCTGCATTCTTCAAGGAAGGGCAAACCACGAATATTACGGACTGCGGCAAGAGCATCTTTAATCTGCAGAAGATTTTCAGGTATTCAAAACCAACAATGCAGCAAAAACAAGCCTTTCTACATAGAGGCTGAAGTAAATTTCAATGTCAATAAGCTTCTTTTACTTAGCTAGTGCAACCACATGGAAAGTCATTATCATAAACAGTCTGACAAAAACAACAACAACAAAAACACACCTCTTGGAGTTGCATGATTGGGTGATGAGCACCTCCTTGATCAAGAGGGAGGATGTTATACGGCACATATAATTCAGATGAAACATCTATGCTCTCACTGTCCGCGATGGCCTATTTACAAAAACAGAATTCACAGACAAAAAAAGGATTTGTTTACTTGACTGGCACTTTTTTGCTTTAGAAGGAAACAATATATACTTGAAACAAAGAGAAAAGGTGCAATAACGTTGCCTGAAATCCTGCAGCAGTGGACACTGTATTCAATACTTCAAACAGTACTGAAGCAATGGTTTGTGCTTTGGTCAACTTCTCTCTTCCAGAACACAAAAATAAAATTAAAAAAAAGTTTAGAAAACCAAACGATCTAATATGATAGATTTGATTTTTTCAAGAAACATTTCAGACTTCAGAGGATAGTTTTATGATCGAGTAGGGATATAATAGCTGTTAACCTATTCTTAATGTTGGAATCTCCGACATGCTTGGCGATGTGGTTTTTGTACTTATGATAAACATGTCCAAGCTCACGCAGATCACTCCTTTCCTTCCTTTTCAAGGTAGTGTAATCTTCGTCCTAGGCCGGGATCATAGAAGAAGAAACATTAACTGAAACTTTTATAATTGCAGCGACTCTTATGGATCCAGATACTATTTTGAAAAACACATTATTACTTAATTAATGTATAAACATCACGTGTTTCTCTAAATAGTACTATGAATAACACTAAAACATAATGACTTTTTCTAAATAGCACCACATAGTTTTTTTTTAATGTAAGACTGTTGGTCATTATGCATTAGTTATTATTCAAGTAAATATTCGTCATCACTAGACATTATAAGCATTATTAATTACTATTTGGAGAACAAAACAATTTAAGTGTTATTTAGTGAAATGACTTAAGTTTCAGTGTTATTTAGTGTAAATATTTTAATTTATAATTAGGGTATGGTGAGAGCATACAAGTTGAAGACGTTGAAGAAGAGCAGTCTTGAATTGCCTTACGCCTCGTCCAATTGAATTGGGGTCCAAATTGTGGGTTAGTTCAAATGCATGAAAGCGGCCTGCTCCATAAACTTCAAATTATCAATATCTATCAGACTATCATAAACCACACAGTAATGACTAGCAGTTCCAGGAATGCAATTAAGAATAATATACTCATGGCACTGGAACAACACATACAATCCAATAATGGTTATTGGTTAAGGAACTCAGCTCCTTTAATTTGGAGTGTTTCTCACAAAATAAAGTATTTCTTTAACTAGTAATGAAAAACAGTTCAGTTTAATATTGGAGTTTAAAAACACACTAATTTTCATGCTTACTCAAAATTTAATTCCGTTTGCTCCGACCAATACCATGATAGAATATAATTCAAATTGGGGTAACAATTATTGAATTGTCCAGAAGACAATTTGGTTAAACTATTCTCTCCCTTCTTGAAAAGATATCCACTTTTGACCAAGTGGTAAAATAAAGAAGTATTAAAATTATGAAATATTTGACTTCCAATTTTATCTTTGATATGATAGATAAAAGTAAGATATGATAGATAGATTATTAGATAAAAATATGATGTGATAGATATGGTAAAAAAAAGTAAGACTAAAAGAGATTTTTTAATAGAAAAGTGGAAGTACTTTGTTGGAAGTGAAAAAATGAAAGATAAAGTGTTTTACGGAGGAATATATTTTTAAAATTAAATTCAATTAATTGGCTAGTTCAACACACTCAAGAACTTATAAACTCATTTGTTTTCTTTTCATCAAGTTCAGTCAACTAATTCAATCAATCCAAACTCATTTTTCCTTAACAAAAAACAAAAAAAAAGAGAAAGAATAATCCTTACAAAGATATGCTACACGAGGGTCTTCCGGATCAATCTGATTAGCTATGCGAAGAAACCTCTGAATATCGGGAGCCAATGTAACGGGCAGCCTCTCACTGTCAAAGGGCTCCGGCGTCTGTTCACGCCGCCAGTAAGTGATTGCCCTTGTGAAGGGCGGCGGCCTATATCTGCCGCGGCCGCCGTAGCTTGTACTTGCATCCGCCGCATCTCCAGAAGTGCCTTCCCAAATTGGCTCTGCAGGAACAATCTCTGTCATCATCCCACTCTAAAGCCGCGCGCCAAGAAAATAATGGAAATGATGATATAAGCTAAGATATGATATATGAAGTAAGAGTAGCTGCATGGAGATAGTATATACCTAGTAGTAGTGTGTGTGTATATATATATATAGGGATTGACTCCAGTGAGATGACACCTTACGGTGAGATGACATGCTTCGGTCAGATGACACAAAGCTCACCACTGGTCACTGCAAAGCTCACCAAAGACAACAACAAAGCTCACCAAAGTGTAAGACAAAGCTCACCATATTTTTTCAATACTTTGAATTTTTTTCCAAAAAAAAATCAAAGGAAGGGGTGTTGACTGGACTTTAACTGTTGACCGCCAACATTGACCGCCGCCTGCCACCGGCCGCCGCCAGTTGCCGGAATCCGGTCACCGCCGGTCGCCGGAATCCGGTCACCGCCGCCGCCGGTCGCCGTCCGCCGCCGCCGGTCGCCGGAATCCGGTCGCCGTCGCCGGACTTCGGCCGTCGCCGTCAGGCTTCGGCCGCCACTACTGCTCCGCCGCCCTTGACCGGTGGTTGACCGGTGTTGTTATTTTATTTTTCATTAATTTTTTAATTTTTAAAATTTAAAAAAAGTGAGTTTTGGGGTTCAAAGTGGTGAGTTTTGCTTTATTTCCAGGTGAGCTTTGCATTGTCTATTGGTGAGCTTTGTACTGTAGTGTAATGAGCTTTGCTTTATTAGCTTTTTTTAAAAAAAAAAAAAGTGGTGAGCTTTGCATTGTTGCTTGGTGAGCTTTCCATTGACAGTTGGTGAGCTTTGCATTGATAGTTGGGGAGCTTTACACTTTGACCGCCCATGACTATTGACTAATGTCCACCACCGATGACTCCCACTGTTGCCGTGGACCGGTGATTGAGTGGTGGTTGAGTGGTGGTGTTATTTTTTTAACTTTTTTTATTTAAAAAAAGTGGTGAGGTTTGCATTGACAGTTGGTGAGCTTTGCATTGGTAGTTGGTGAGCTTTGCATTGGCAGTTGGTGAGCTTTTCATTTGGCAGTGTTGTGTGTTGTGTCATCTCATTGAAGCATGTCATCTTACCATAAAGTGTCATCTCACTGGAGTCAATCCCTATATATATATATATATATATATATATATATATATATATTGGTTTAGGTGAGAATGCGATCTTATGAAAGAAATAAGAATGAATCTGGTGCTTTAGATTGTGAGATCTAAGGGTCAGGATTGCATCAAAATTAAATGTACCAAAATGATTTGAAAATGCATCATGTCGAAATGCACCAAAATCCTTTAAAAATACACTATCTCAAAATCTGAGTGCAGGATGCAATCTGAGCCGCACGATGCATCAGATCCAAATTCCAAAGGCTAGATTTTATTCTTATTTCTTTCACTAAGGTGCATTCTCACCTGAACCGCCCCCTTGATGAAATCTTGACCCTTAGATCTCACAATCTAAAGCACCAGATTCATTCTCATTTCTCTCCTAAGATTGCATTCTCACCAGAACCAANCAATATATATATATATATATATATATATATATATATATATATATTGGTTCTGGTGAGAATGCAATCTTAGGAGAGAAATGAGAATGAATCTAGTGCTTTAGATTGTGAGATCTAAGGGTCAAGATTTCATCAAAATTAGATGCACCAAAATGGTGCGAAAATGCATCACGTCGAAATGCACCATAAACCTTCAAAAATGCACTATCTCAAAATCTGAGCGCAGGATGCAATCTGAGCCGTACGATGCATCAGATCCGACGGCTAGATTTTATTCTCATTTCTCTCCACAAGGTGCATTCTCACGGGAACCGGCCCCTATATATATATATATATATATATATATATATATAAATTAAAGATGGAATCTTTGGTGTATATGCGATTGCATGTGTGGGGCTTGCAATCACTTTGTTGCTTTTGGGAGAACTCATCTTTCCTCTTTCGCTTTTTGATTGATCTAAGTAAATGCTTCTTTATCTTTACGAATGGCATGGCATCCGGCCGGAGATAAAGTAGTTTGGCACGAGTTTCTTCTTTGGCGGGTTTTCCTTTTTATTCTCATTTTTGTTTGCAATGGAATCGAAAAGTTTTTCTTTTTATCACATGATTGTTGACGAGCTTAAGGAATCAAAAGGAGTAATGGGGCCATATCTACATACTCCCTTCGTCCCTAAATAGATTATAATCTTTTTTTCTCTCTCCTCTCGATAACTTTTGTTTATTTACGCGATTTCACTAAGTATTTGATAAAATAAAATATTCTTGTCACCTCTTGTTTTGTAAAACTTTTGACGTAGTTTTTTAATATGTAATTTTTATATCTTATTGATATACCAATTTGTAAATAAAATGATTTCAAAAAGTAAGAAATTTTACTCCGTAACCCGCAATTTGTAATCAAATTGGGGACGGAGGGAGTATTTGAAATGCAAAACAACCATGCTAGACTAATTACACCAAGAATTGTATCTTAAAATTATACTAAAGGTATAGACTAGTATTTTGATAGTTCATACTAGCTAGTCCTATAATATACAATTTGGGTACAAAATTTGAAGTGCAAACTACAATAGCTTAATCCAATGCAAAAAGATGAAAGCAAAAAATTGAGTGTAATAACTCCAGCATCCTCTGTGATTTAGAAAAATGAGTCAATGTTCTCATCCCTTATTTTCAAAACTTATTTAAAAGATTTATGTGCTTTCAAAATGTTACACATATATGCACCCCTCCTATCATTTTCTGACCATATTTTAGAAAAAAAATGGGAAATTGGTTCCTATTTTTCAAACTATAGACGAGAATGAAGCTCATTTCCTGTTTTCATTTTCTTTACCTTTTTCTCTCTTTTTTCTTTCCCTATATATTTTTTAAATTTCTATTTTGAAATTGTTTTTCATAATCTTTTAAAAATTCAAATTTGTTTGTATTTGAAGTAAAAAATAAATGAAATGAAAAAAATTAACACATATTGAATCTTTCTCAAAGTTTAAAAAAATATTTTTTTGTTTTCCAAAATAAATAGTAAAATCTTTTTTAGGAAACTTCAAAAAATGAGGAATAGAAAAAGGAAATAAAATTTTTAAAAAAAAGAAAACAAGAGAAAGGAAATGATAAGGAGAGTAAAATATAAGAAAATGTTTTTACTCGAGACGTCAAAAAAGTCATTTTTTAAAATCAATTGGGTTAAGAAAAAAAATTGAACCAGTGCGCAATACATTCAAAAAATTGAAAGCACTCCTCTTTTTATTTTTAAAATTAGAACAAATAACCTTTTTTGGGCATCTCAATTATCATAACTTTTTAGGGCTTTGCTCCGGTGCCTTGCGAAACGAAGGGGCATCCATGCCCCAACCCCCCCACTAATAGGATGCCATGTGGATAAATGAATATGAGTTTAATTTATATTATCCACTTCATATTAATTTTCAGAAATTGTAAATACCCCCTTTTTTTTTAAATTTGCATTCTTATCTTTTCCCAGTTATGTGCTGTCTTCCGTTTAACAACTTCCGTTAAGTAGGGAATTTTTTACTATTTGCTTATTGAATCGATTCTCTTGGCACCAACCCCTTCCTGCTTTGCCGTCACTGCAGCGCACGAGAAAGGAAGGACCCCTGCTTTGCCGTCACAGTGCATCACCAGAAAGTCGTCGTCCGCCATCGTAGAGAAAACCCCCAATCAGTTTGTTCGTCTTCTTCAATCAAACATATTGAGCGCATGAATCGATTACCTGGTCGGAAATTAAACTCGGCGACGGCGTCACAACTGCAGCTAGCGGCGACGGCTTATCCTCTTCCGCGGTGCTGCGATTGCGATGAAGAACAGGCCCGGCAGATGAAGAAAGAAGGGGGGCTGCGTAAAAAACAGAAACGGAGTAATGGAGTAACATACCGAGCTCCGTCAACTGCAGTCAAGTATATAACACAGACCAAAAGTCAAGCTATTTTAATTTTTCATTTCTTTTTCCATTTTTTATTTTATTTCATTTTTTCTATTCCTAATTTTATTTTTTGAACTTCCCCAATAGCTTTTTCTCTTATTATGTAAAAATATGAAATGTTTAATTTGAGATAGATGAAGTATATGTTAATTTTTGTTAATCTGTTTATTTTTTATTTCAAACACAAACAAATTTAAAATTTTAAAATTTTATAAAAATTAGAAAAGATAAAAAATCTTTTAAAATAGGGAAACAAAGAGAGAAAAAAAGAGATAAAAAAGTGGAAAACCAAAATATAAAAGGAAAATGGAAAATGAGCTTTGCTGCCCCTGTAGTTTGGAAAATAAACATCAATATCTCCTCTTTGCCACAAAACAATCAGCAAATAGTGGGAAAGTAATAAGAGGAGGTGTGTATCAAATGATTTGAAACCATAGAGATTTTAAGCTCATTTCTTAAATCACGTGCTGGAGCTATTAAGCTCAAAAATTCAAAATGACAATCTAATCTATACTCGGTATAATTTACATAAATTTAATTAATAAAGTAAGAAAAAACACTAACCAAAATCATTTCAAGGACCGCATGGGAAGGGAAAAAGACTTTCGCACTAACCAAAAGTAAGAAAATCATTTTGGATGATATTTCATGATATAAATTAAAATAAGGGCTGGTTCACGTAAGAGTTGACCTTGGTGAAAGAAATAATTAAGAATGATGCTTTTTTTTGTTCGCCATGGTGCTTTTTACAAACAAGGTACTTCATCATGGTGTGTTTTTCAAAGCTGGTAGTGCATTTAACGAAGTTTGATTTAATTATAAAATTGCTACCGTGTATTTCCTTGTTTTTTAGTATGTTTCAGATTTTGTTTGTCCTTAGATCTCACATTCTAAAGCACTACATGCATTCTTATTTCTTTCGTAAAATCTCATTCTCACCAGAACCAATATATATAGGGGCTAGTTTATGTGAGAATAACTCTCCATTAAAGAAATGAGAATGAATTATACGTGGTATATAATAATTCACCCCGTTTCATGTGACATTGCCCAAGAATGTCATAGCCTAACCTGAGGCATATGCGGTATCCCTTTCGAAAAATTAGCAGTTATTGTCCCTCCAAACCCCCACCCACCCCCGGCAAACCCTTCACCCGAACGGAGCACCGTAGAACACTTGGGTCATCCCAGATATTGATTATCAATTTCATGGAAACTGCCCCATAATAATTAGTCTCCATTAAATTGTGGAATGGTTGAAATCCAAGGGTCATCCTAGAAACTAATACACGCATGGATAAGGAAAATATTCATTAACTTCTTTTTATATGGTGCATTTACTCAACCCATTTACTAGGTGCAATAACTTAAGTACGGAGTATTTAAATAAAAATTATTATTATATTAAAATATTAATTTCACTTTATGTAATTATTTTAATGCATTATCTAGCTTGTTTGTACATTACTTTTTGTATGTAAGTCCATTTTTGACAAATACTAATATGTTGTTCAAAATCTCTCGTCGAGATCTACCCAACAATAAAAATATAAAATATAAAATTTTGATATTATCTTCATTTCAAATTTTAAAATAAGAAAAGCCACATTTATAACTACATTTTTTTCTTGTTTTAACCAAATGAATACATAGTTATATTAGGCTTGTTTTTCGAGACCTCTCTTATTGTTACTCCTTTTGTCGCAAATTAAGACCCTGAGCTTGACTCAGCACGTTGTTTAAGAAGAATAAAATTGTATGGTTTAAAATGCATCTAACTTAGAAAAACATTTTTCATATCTCAACTCACTTTTCCAATTTTTTATGGGGGAGATGCACGTGAAAGCCTTTTTATGTACTATGATATGATGCGAATGCCTTGTGTTGGACGATATATATATATATATATATATATATATATATATATATATATATATATATGCACGGTGGTTTGCAGTTTAATTTTATTCAAATTTTATTATATTAATTAGTGGGTTAGTGAATTATGACTTCTTGGTGACTTTATATGTGATAAAAAGACCTTTGTACTAAAAACAAGTGTAATACAAATATGAGAAATAGTTTTCCTATGCGGGATTCAAACTCACATCCGTATATAGTACATACTGATTTACCATTTGAGCTAATAGGCAATAATTTATTTTTTCAAAGAGACTCTCGTCTTGCACTTGGACCTATTAAATACATAGGTTTATATTTAAAATTGACATCATTTAACGTAGTTTTAGTCCATGCTCAAAAAGTTTCTCAAAATATTTTAAATGCATCATCATTTGCAAAAAAAAAAAAGTCAATTTCTAGAATATATAGATACATTTGCATCAGAAAAAATTCACCATCAGATGCATCAACTTTTCTTCTTAGAGTGAAAAATAAAAGGATGTATTATCTAGAGTTACAATGCATCTTATATTCTGTGTAATGCTTTAGAGTGTATATCATATATTCAAGCATGAACCAAAAGCCTTCTACTTTACACCCAAGCTAAGAAAGTACAAATGTAAAGTAAATGCATCAAAAAAAGAGGGGTGGGCAATACTCCTGGTACATAAAGCAATGCCAAAAAGATTAAGGGACTGTTTGTTTCAGTCTCTTAATGGTTCAGCACTTAATGGTTTAGACTTTTTGTTTCGTGAGCAGATGTTTGAATGGTTCAGACATTTGTCTCTGAATGGTTAAGTATTATACAAAGTCTGAATGGTTAAGACCTATTATCTGAATTGATCAGACATTTGCCTCTGAATAGTTAAATAATATATTAGCTCTTAATGGTTCAGACCTCTTACTGGTTCAGCACTTAATGGTTCAGACCTCTTACTGGTTCAGCACTTACCTATTCAGAAGTTGCCAAACAGCCCCTAAATTAAAACAAGATATCACACTATAAATATCAGTTATCAGTTCAAAAAAAATTTAGTGTAAATCTAAAGTTCTCGAAAACTTGCACTTTGACCTCTTAAATATGCATTAAAATCTTTTTAAATCTGCGTTATTCGATGTGTTTCTAACTCATATTCAAATGTATCATAGTATATATTTTAAATGCATCATTGTGTGTAAACATTTTACAATTCAGAATATACAAATGGGGGAAAATGCACCACAGCCCCCTATGGTTTCAAAAAGGAGCTCCAACATCCCTTGTGTGGTTTTAAAAGTAACTTATAATATACCTCTGGTTTGTAAAGGGTGCACATGCACCCCATCAGAATTGGATGTTATTCGATATGCTTTGATTCCTAATGTTTTCTCAATCCAATCCTACATCAACGCTTATTCGGACATCATAATCCTGTTTCCTAATGAGGCCGAATGGCCTACTCCAGGATACAAGATAGTGAGACCAACTGCACGAGCAAGGACACAAATTGATCGACCTATAAGAACTCGCTATCTTAATAACTGGACTACCGACCACAGCGACGTCGCAATGAACAATAGTTATATCATGGATTTCAATTATGTCTAAGTTTATGTTTTATGAATTCTACAAAATAAATTAGTTATGGCATGTGTTTTGTAACCTTGTTTTTATGAATAAATAAATTATATGTACTCTATCAATAAATTTGTTCTGATTTACTTCTTATTTTAATTTTGGTGTATGGTGCATTATTTAAAGTCAATATATAGTTATTTTATTTATTAATTTTATTATTAGTAGATTGTTTGTTCCATTACATGTAATTAATTTGCTGGTTTTATAATATATTTTTTGTTATTCAATTATGAGAAATAAAGAAAAAAATTGATTTAAAAAAATAATAGCGGAACAAAGATGAGAAATTAAGAAAAATATTGATTTAAAAAAAATAATAGTGGAACAAAGTTGGCTACTCCGTTTCCTTGATTAATTATTAGAAAGATAAACTAGGATTTATTATTTAATAAAACGGAGTAGCCAAATTCGTGCCGAATAATTAATTAAGGAAGAAGCCAAATTCGTTTAATGAGAAATTAATATTTATTATATATATATTTCCAATTTGAAAATTGAACCAAAAAAACCCCAATTTTATTTTAAATATATATATATTTCCAATTTAAATTTTAATGTTCAGTATTTATTATTTGTAATACTATTTTTTTATCAAACAAATTATTAACAATAACAATGAAAAGTTTAAAAATATGGATTTGAACTATTTTTTGTTAAATTCTAAAAAAACTCATTATGCTAATTAGTTTTTTTACATTTTTAATTCTATATTTAGTACTTTATTATTTTATTTGTCGTATCCTCGCCGTCCCCGCATCCTATAATTTTTAAAAATGTCGTTTTCCGACCCCGTCCCCGCCTCCGCATATGTACCCGCACCCGCCCCAGTGCAGCCTAGGGAGGAGGAAGAAGAAGAAGCATCGTCTCTTACGTCTCCTTTTTTTTCTTCAATCAAACCATAATTTTTTTCACAAGCCAAGAAAGAAAGGAGATTCTGAAACCCCTTTTTGAGTTTTTCTGATTAATCAGACAATTTAATTATATATTTGTTTTTTTCAAATTATTTATTTCTTGTTTTTGTAATTCTATTAATATAAAATTTATTTTGTTATTAATATAAAAATATAATATTTATTTAATTTAAAATTAAAATTAATCTTATTTGAGTGCAAAAAATAATGATGGACGAACATACTCGAATGGTGGAAGTGAAATCTATAAAATTATTCAAATAAAAGTCCATAGACTTGATAAATCCATAGAAATTATTTATATAATATCAATGACTTTTAAAATATCAATAAAAGTCTATGACTTTCAACACAAGTCCATTGACATGAATAGAAGTCATTGATTTTAAAAATATGAATTCAATTCCTTATACAATACACCCCCCTGAATATCTATAGATTTTTTTTCAATTTTAAAAGTTTATTTTGAATACGGCTAGACTTTCGTTGAATTTATAATGACTTTTTAAAGTCCTAATTGAGTACACCAAGATTTTTATAGATTTTAAAAAGTTACAATTGAATACACCTAAACTTTCAAATTCCATTGAATTCTATTTAAATGAATAAGAATCCTTATTCAATACACCCCCCTAAGTTAGAAAGTGAATGATTTTAAAGAATATAGTAAGAATAATGATTATTTAATTACACGCATGTCATGCCATGTGGCTTGTAAGATATATGTGGCATGACACGTGTCATAAATGTGTTCACATGTCGTTATTGTAATTAATTCGCCCAACTTTATAAATATGCTCTTAGTGTGAATCACTCAATCACAGGAGGCATCTGTGCTATTAACCCCGAAAATATAATGCCACAGGAGAAAATAAAAAAAATTGAAAAAAAGTCAAGTTTAAATATTTAAATAAAAGATTAAATTTATAAAATATAATACTCCGTACTAATTATTTTAGCACTTTTTATTTTTTTCAACTCCTTTCAATTTGTTCTTCCAATTTTTCAAAATTTCTTTCAATTTTTTCATCTCCTTTGGGGTTCCTCAACCTGTTTCCAGCATCCTGTTTCCAGATATACTCTGTATATTTATCAAGCAATAATGGCTGCACAGAATATATCTCTATCAAAAACTCCGAGTATATCCATAAAATTTCACTTTTGAAGTCATTACGGGTTGAATTCAAGACTAAAGATTCAGATTTAAGACCCTAAATTTTTAGACAGGATCATATCGGATTTGCAGTTAGTTCGGATAGAAGGAGCACATAAATTACTCCGCACTTGGTAACTAAAATGATTTAAAATGATTTTTCTGACGAAATATTCTAGAAATTACTTTATTAATTCAACAAGCAATTTTCAACCAATTCCAATATATTGAAACAGATAAAAAAATACTAGACTTCCACAAAACAGAGTTCACATGTGTTTACTTCAGCATTATTGTGCTCATGACTAAAAATGCACAGAAAATTTACTCTTCCCTACATTAACCCAAACCACACCTAAATAAACATAAATCTGACCTGCATTTTAAGCAGTGTTTCTCAATAGAGTAGAAGCAGTTGGATTGGATTTGGGAGGAGAAATTAAAAGAGTACATTTTAGTGCAATCAATGACAGCACATCGAAAAAGCCTTCAAATGACAGTCAAGTTATATGAAACTTAGAAGGATAAACAAACACACTCTGAGTACAAAAAACCATCAATATAAAATCGCAATTGACAATGGATATGAGCACAGATGGTGAGAGGCTTTTCTAACTGGTCCAACTAATAACACAGAAATGGCTGGTTTTCAAACCAACTTCTTCCCGTCTTACACTCCGGCCCCACCTCACGGTTGTAAATCTCCGCCACAAGTCTTGCCGTTCTCTCCAGGAAATGTGCCACCAAGCCCACCACCCATCAACCCTCCCCCGTCCTCCCCAAAGGTAGCACCACCTCACCCAGCCAGCACACCTCCGCCACCTCATTATCCCAGCCCACAGCCTCCATCACCAAGGCCACCAAGGCCTTCCATTCCACCTCCATCACCAGTTGTCAAGCCGCCTCCGCCACACATTCTGCCACCACCATCACCGGCAGTTAAGCCGCCACCACAACCATACATTTCTCCTCCACCACAACCTGGACATCATTCCCATGTCATCATTATTGCTTTTGTCTCACTTGGTGGACTGTTCTTTCTAGCATTCCTCTCTGTGGCATTATGCTGCTTTATCAAAAAGAGAAAGAAGAGAATGGTTCAAGAAAGTGATGTTGTAAAGGTGGATGAACATATAAAAGTTCATGAAACAATTGTCCCAGGTCCACATGGCACGCAAACTACTTTTATAACCATTGATGATGATCTTCATATCGATGAAGAAGTCAAAAAGCATGAAAAAAATTGTCAAAGTTCAGTCACAAAGGGCGTGCAGAAACATCCTCAGGCTATTGGTGCAAGCACAAGAGCTCCAACATCTGGTTGAAATCACAAGCCATATTGATCATAGTGAAAAAAGAAGTGATTAAGCGTAATTTCCATATTAATGTAATACTACATTTGTGTTTGATGCCATTATTGAATGTAATTTACCAATAATCACCATCATAAAGCCAGCAAGTTTGAAACGCCGAATGTTTATTTTAACATATTATTATAACAAAAATGAAGGAAATGGGTCATATAATGTTTGCATAAGGGAATTCTGCTTGTTTCTTCAAGCACTAACTTCAATTTTATATTAATAGACGGAGATGTGGTGATAATCTTCGCATGAGAGTCAGATGCACATCAACAAGAATTCTAAGGTTTTAGGAATTATTAAGAGCAGCAGCTTGGCAGCTTTTTCGACATACCTGGCCTTCACTCACAAGACAGTTCAACAACAACAACCCTGTTGGCTGTTGAATCCCACAAAAGTAGGGTCTGGGGATGGTGTGTGGGTGCAGACCTTACCACTACCCGAAATTAGAGAGGTTGTTTCCAAAGAGACTCCAGGCTCAAGAACCACAGGTAATCACGTACGCAGCCTATCCCTATGTTAAAAACATAAAGCAGATGACCCATGATGAACGTTGAAAGTTGCATTGACTATGTGCTACTTCACTACTNTTTTTCGACATACCTGGCCTTCACTCACAAGACAGTTCAACAACAACAACCCTGTTGGCTGTTGAATCCCACAAAAGTAGGGTCTGGGGATGGTGTGTGGGTGCAGACCTTACCACTACCCGAAATTAGAGAGGTTGTTTCCAAAGAGACTCCAGGCTCAAGAACCACAGGTAATCACGTACGCAGCCTATCCCTATGTTAAAAACATAAAGCAGATGACCCATGATGAACGTTGAAAGTTGCATTGACTATGTGCTACTTCACTACTAAAGAAGCGCAAACAGTTTAAAGACCCTTTGCTTTATTCCATCACCCTAATCCAAAAAATAGTGAATCTTTGGCTCAATCATACTCACAAGACTGTTGGTTCCAAAAAAACAAAAGCATAACAGGGAGTACCCATTCAGTTCCTGTATGTTTTGCCAGAGTCAAAGTCTGCTTTAAATATAATGGTGCAGTGAGTTTGATTAAAGGAGATAAAATAACCTAAAATCTAGACAATAATGGTCAAGCTTTTACACCAGCCTTTTGGGAGTGATAATTAAGTCACAAGTTTATTGTTCTTTACTTAAAAGGAAAACATAAATCTAGATAATTATTACTATAATTATAATATTGTTACTCCCTCTGTCTCGAATTCATTGTCTCACTATCCTATTTAGTCTTTGCCAAAATAAATTTCTCACTTCCTTACTTTCCAATTAAAGTAAAGAATATCAGTCCACAATCTTTCTCTTTCCTCTAATCAAATTTCAACCACTCTCTTTGAACTTTTGAACAGTTTTCATAAACTCCGTGAAGTCAAACTGGGATGATTAATTTGGGATGGAGTGAGTATTATTAAGTTAGATAGCTATGTTGCTCGAGCCCAAAGAGTCTTGGAAACAGCCTCTCTGAGTAGGGTAAGGTCTGTGGACGCACACCCTCCCCCTAGTTTCGTGGGACTCTACTAGGTTATTGTTATTGTTGTTTTGTATTAAGTTAGATAGCTTAGATAGAGTTGCATTAGTCAGAGACTCATATGCATTGAATCTTTACATACTCCATACTTTGTGTTCTTAGCTATTGAACGCAATACAAAAAAGTCTAATTTTGTATCAAGAAGATTTGTTGCTTATTTTTCCCAAAAGAGTTTCAAACAAGTTTTAATTAAGAATTTAGCTAAACCAAAAAAACACAACAAAAATAAAAATAAAATTAAAAACAGTATATCATGACTGTTTAAGAGGCCTGCCTTGCCAAAACTAAAAGGTCATACCTTCACCAAAGAGAAATCTTGTTTTATAGCATAAGAATTAATAGTAGGACACTATATACACCCTTTTATAATGAGGGGTTAAATAATAGTAACAGACAAGCAGAAAATTCAGACAGGAGAATTGGATCTCAACAAAAAAGAAATCTGGGGAATTCAGGCTCTCAACCTCAACCATATTCCAACCAAGCCAAAATTTCATACGGAGTATATGTTTGTTCCATTAATTATGTTTGTGATGTTTCCGGCATGTTAGAGAAAAATGGTGGATAGAGAAGAAATCAGCGAGAAATAATGGTGTAAGCATGAGGACAATATGTCCAAGAAGCACGACACAAGATAGTCTCTGCGCCAGGAGAACTGGACACATAGATCCATCAGAAGTACCTGCTATAATTCATCATCTTTCTCTCTATCCTTGTTAAGGTTTGGGTATATACTTCATTCATGGTCATGAGGAAATTAGCAAACCACTTGACTTCAAAATATCTTGCAACTCAGAGTAATATTCTTGCAACTATAACAGTAATTCATAACACACCAGGAAAATATAAATTTTAATTTGTACCCCCCCTCCCCACCCCACGGAAATATTAAAGTGATGGTAGGTTAAACCGAGCTCAGATCATTTCTGGGCTCGTACTGAAGGTCGTTCTTGACAATTCTTAGTAACAACAACAACAAGAACAATATTACCCCCGTGCGTCAAAGGCTCCCACCCATTGCAGGGAAAGGGGGTCGGATGTACGTAGTGTGACCCCTATGATTAAAATATAGAACGGCTGTTTCCAGATGACCCATGAGGAGCGTCTAAAGTTTCATTGACTAACTGTTACTTCACTGTTCAAAGAAGCACAGACAGTTTAAAGAGCCATTTAGGTTTATTCCACCATACCCCAAAGCCAACATAGTGAATTTTTGGCTCCATCAGTATTCAGTGATGATGGAAACTCTTGACAGTTCTCAATTATTATTTGAAATTTAAGTGAACGATTAATGAAATCATGGTGGTTATTGCCCTTACTGAGCACATAGCATTCAGTTTAATACTTTTATATGTTAGAAGTTAAAAACATATTCTCTTCATAAGCTCCTATATGTATACACAAGCTAACCTCTTTGCTTTAGCTTCTCTATAAGTTACCAGCCCATACTAAAGCAGTAAAAACACTTGTTTCAAATATACTTGACTCATTTTATGCGCACATATGATTCTCTACCAGCTACTTGAGTAATTAGGCATGTTGAGGAAATGGAATTTCACTGCCCCACTAGCAGATAGATAGGATACTTCTCAAATAAAATCCTGTAGAATCCCGGAAAAGTAGGGTCTCGAGAGCTGTACGCAGACCTTACCCCTACTTGAGAGTAAAGAGGATGTTTTCAAGAGACCCCAGGCTCTAGTAACACAAAAAGCACAGATCAAAAACAAATAAGCAAATGGCTTCACAAATAAATTCTCAAAAACCTAGAATTTATAAGAATTTATTTTAAACAAAGAGAAACTGAACCATGTAACTTTAGAACATGTATGGGATTCTCTTAAATAGTTAAAGGGAAACATTTTAATTGAACTAAAAAAGTACAGGACATCAACCCATTATGTATTTATACCAACAAGTTTCTACATATGCAGGTGATAGACCCAGCACGACACCAAGATTATTCAGAGTTTAAAATTCATAGATACCTCTAATCAGCTACAGGTCTTCATCTGGACCTTCATTCTAATCTGACAGCTCCTGGCTAGGATAATCTGCTTCTGTGTCAATTTCATCTTCGTAATCGGAAAGCTCCGAGCAATCCGCTTCTATGCCCGATTCATATAGTCCTTCCATTCTTGTTGAAGAAGCCTTCGGAGCCGTCTTGAGTTTCTCTCCATCTTCTCTGCTTGTGGAGCTATTAATGATTGGATGTGGACTCTGATCACTGGAACCACCATAAAGGGCTACATGCCTGTAATAGAGTTCAAGCTCCTTCTCAGCAATGGCAATAAAATGTCTCACAGACTCTAGTGATTGCTCATACTTGGATTTTTCCCATGCCTTCTTCTTTGATAATGTATCAATTGGTGACATCACTTCTGGTTGTACATAATCTTTCCCTCTGTAGAAAACAATAGTATCATCCCCAATTATCTGAATTGGCAGTCCACCACTCAGTCTTGCAATTTCATCAGCATACTCTTTGATTTGCCCAGGTTTGCAAGGCTTGCAATAGACCTTAACAGTTTCATGCTTTTTCCAATGAAGATGCATATTAAGAATAACACCTCCAAACACACCCCTTATGCCAATTGGAACATAATTTGATTTTTTCTGGGCCATTCTTTTGATATAAAACCTTTCTTCCCCAGTAAGTTCATGTGGCATAACTTCAGGACCTTGGATTCTGGGAACCTTATATCCCTTTAATCTTTCAACAAGCAAAGCTTCCTTGACTTTTGCATTTTCAAGCTTGTGCATAATCCTTTCTTCAGCAGTAGCAAACTTTAGCTTCTTCTTCTTTCCTCTAACTCCCAGCTTTCTAGGATCTCTCGTATTCGCCGCTTTTCTCTTCTTTTTCTCTCTCTTCCTCTTCTCTTTCAGTCGCTTCTTTGTCATCCATTTTTCCTTCTTTGGAGGGTCTGTTTCAAAAGTCTCAAATCTCGGCTTCCCATCCGAAGATATCACAAAATTCACAGTTCCATGACTAAAACTTCTCTGCTCCCACCCAATATGCAGTGGAAGAATTGGATTAACAAATCTTGACCTGGGGAGATCTGCAATGGGTTTTGAGCATCTTGAAGGTTGCTGGCAGTGACAAAGAGATGAGGGAAAACACAGTTTATATGGCAGGGGGAAGAAAAGCCTCCTGATTCGAGCCATTGAGCCAGCCATAGCCATTACAGGTTTCTAGAGGTCAGTCAACACCTCTGTGGGTTGATACCTCATTACAGACAGTCCTCTTCTTCTCTACGGATTCTGAAGAAAACTGAGACATTATGTACAACTAAATTGAAGCTAACAATGTTTTCTCGAGAGTACTATTGTATATAATAGGAGGTCAGATGTTTCGATATAAAAAAAATTACTAAAATCAAAAGCTACACAGGCATTAAAAATTTTCATCTTTAAAATGCACACATTATGAGAAAAAATTTTAACCAAAAAATACAACTGATTATGCTACTTTGGAAGTAGAAAATTCACACAGATGCTTCATTACATATCAGATAAGAACCTGAAATAATGTTGTGCGCTTGCCTGTTTATACTACAAAGATCTAACAAAACGCCGATGTAGCCTTCATATAGCCACCGCCATCACCCACATATCGCCACCGCTGCACGGCAGCAGGTTAGAACTGCAGGGTTTACAATCGCCTCTATAATCCGAAGGTTGAACCCCAACCCTCTACATTGCGGGCAAAGTTCAAACACCCAACTGGACCGGCCGGTCAGAACAAGAAACCGCCGAACCGGTCTGGTTGGCAATGTACTAATGTAGTACAGTGATACGTAGCAAACCGGTGGGAACCGGAGGTTAAACCAGGGTTGAACCGGGAACCAAACCCTTTTTTTAGAGGCGGATGTGAGTTCCAACCTTCGGCGGAAACGGCGGCGTAGGGTTTCAACAAAGTGTATCTTTTGGAAAAAGGACGAAAGAACCTGACCTGTTGCCGGAATAGGCTTCACCTTTGGAGATGGCTCTGAACTTTTAGACGTCATGCGATGAAGGAAGCTGGATGGTCTAGCGGCGTTGCGAGTGGCTTGAAAGAAGCGGACGGGATTTGGAGAGAGATTGAATACCTAGATCTAATTTAAGATATTTTAGTGGATGTTTATGTGGGTCATATTCACCCCTTTGGGTTATTCCTCAAATGTGTTTGGGGCCAATGTGCTATTCGCCTATTCCTATTGTGCATTGGGTTCAATTGGGTTGGGACCTATGAACTACCAACCACTAACACTATGTTTGGTTCAAGGATTTTGAAAGGAAAAAAAAAATGATTTTCTCTCATTTTCCTCACCAAAATGGGAGGATTTTGGTTTTCCCTCCGGTTAGTTCATTTGTCTTCTCATTTTCATTTTCTTCCACTTTTTCTCTCCAACCAAACATGAAAAACTGTTTTCCAACTTTTCTTTTCCCTTTCAAATTCCTTGAACCAAACATAGTGTAAGACTCCATTCCATTCAACTTATTTTTCTAATTTGATCTGATTTTTCATAGTTTTAATCTGATCTAATATAGTCTGATTTAATCTAATCTGATTGAATCTGATCTGATCTAATTAATTATAATTTGATTTAAAATTCAAATCAATAATTTGATTTGACTTTATAATAACGTTTAAATATTGTAATGATAATTCATATCATAATATAATCAATATTTTTTATTTTAGTATTATTTTTTAATAAAAAAAAATTAGCTAATTCATATATTAGAATAATTATTCATATTATAATGTAATAATATTTTTTATTTTATGATAATTTTTTTGTGAAGTAAGAATATTGATTTAGTATTTTAATAATTAGTTCATATATACATTAAAATAAATATTTAATTTATATATACATTAAAAATTAATTAAATTTAGATAATCAATATAGAGAAGATATAATATTTTTATTAAAATATATCATCCTTATAAAAGATCAAAAGTTTAAAAATTAAAATTACAGGTAGTAATAAAAATGTGTTTTAAAAGTAGAATTAGATTGACATTGTCAATGTATTTTAAAAATAATGTTTTTGACGTCTAATAATCAAGAATTACTTTCTCAGTTTTCTATTTAACTTGTTTCTAAAGTTTATTCTTTTTTATTTTTAGGAATAATAATAATAATAATAATAATAATAATAATAATAATAATAATAATTCTTGATGAGATTGGGTCTGATCTGATCTAATCTGATTGGATCTGACTGATCTGATTGGTGTGATATGACCTGATCTGTTCTGATTTGATATGGTCTGATCTGATTCAATATGATCTGGTCTGATCTGATCTGATTTTAATAAGAATAAGAAAAAATAAGAAAAAATAAATTGAACGAAACGGGGCCTAATTCGATCTCTGCTTCGGTACTAAGAGCTTGTTCTTTAGGACTGGAAAAAAAGTTGGATATTGGAAGAAACTGGAAGAAATTGGAAAGAACTGGAAAGAAATGGAAGAAACTGGAAAGAACTGGAAGGAACTAGAGGAATTGGAAGAAACTGGAAAGAACTCAAAAAAACTAGAAGAAACTGAAAAAAACTAGAAGAAACTGGAAAAACTTCAAAAAATTAGAAAACCTAAAAAATTTTAAAAAAATTTATTTTAAATTCGTGTTGTTATAAAATTATTATTATTATTATTATTATTATCATCATCATCATCATGTTATCTTAATGAATGTATTTAAGATACAATACAAAAAACTACTTTTGCAAAAAAATAATTATAATAATATATTTGTAATTATACTTTATATATTACAATATTTTGTTTTAAATATGAGGCATGTCACATAATGTAATCAAACCTATTTCTTTCATGATTGACATTTTATTTTCATTGAAGTCCTAGTCTTGGAATAAAGACAGAGAACTTTTTTTACATTTTTTATGTTTTACTCCTATTTTAGTCTTTTTCTCTAAACTATTTTGACTTTCAATTTTTTTTATAAAAATTAGAAAAATGATCAAATTTTAAGTAATAAAGAGAGAGGTGAGAGATCTTAAATAAAGTTAGATTAATAAAACATTCTATGTCACTATTTTATCCATAACTTTTTAATACGGAGTATAGTTTAACATATTGATATTTTCCTGTTTTATCATGTAGATTAATATACAAAAAATTGTCTTATTCATATTAAAAAGTTGAAGAAAAAATAATGAGTGTGAATTGTAAAAATAGTGAGGTGAAAAAATGTATAAACAATAGTTATGAACATAACAGTTGTAATAATAATAATAATCACATTAAAAATATATCGTTTTTAGAGTAATTGGTTGGGGAGTAGAAAGAATTTGAAGAAAATGAGAATAGTTGGAAGAGACTGGAAGAAACTGAAAGGAAGTGAAAGGAACTAGAAGAACTGGAAGGAACTCGATGAAACTGGAATGAACTGGAAGAAACTAGAAGTTAAGAGTTCAAGCCCTAAAGAACATGCTCTAAAAATTATTCGATTGAAAACTTCGTATAATATTTTAGTATGGAGTACATGGTAGGAATAAAGGTTATCAGTTTCTATTATTAAGGTTGATTTAGTTTTACCCAAAAAATAAATATCATGAGTCACCCGTAAATAGTTTGAGAAAAATCATGTGAACTCCTAGTGGATGAAATTTATTTGATTGAAGGAGACTATTGTATTAACAGAGTATTTCAAAGGAAAAATAGTTTTTTAACATAGTAATCCATATGTAATTCATTATGTTAAAACCAAACTATTTTATTGAGTACTATGTACAACTAACTAAGTCGCATTTTTTCTAATTCTTTTCTACCGTTTATAATTTCCCAAGAATATCTAAAAAATCTATGTCTGATTGAGATTGAAAAGTTGCTTATTTCAAACGCATGGTCTTTATAAGCGTCCAACCCATGTCGTCCATGGTGAAGCGTCCAGATCTGGACGCCATGACACATCACCAACCACTCGTTGACTGCCACGCGTCATCCTTAGAAACCAATCCAAGTGAAGCGTCCAAGACGAAGTGTCCAACCCGCAAAGCGTCCATGGGTTGGAGGCTTCAGACTCGTCTCCTTTTGGGCTTCATGGCTTGGTTCCATTTTGGGCCTGGTTCTGCTCCCTAATATCCTCGAATGCTGTTTTTGCCTCTCCCGAGATTCTCTTGATAATAATTCTCATTTTGAAGCTTCTTTTTCTCATATATGAATAAGAAATTGAAAATCTAAATAGATTCATTTTAGAACCAATTATTATTCCTTTTAGAACAAACCAAAAGATATTGTTCGTATTAACATGTAATTATGCACTGATTTACTACTATTTTTGTGCACCAACGTTTAAAATATGTAGAATAAAATAAGAACAAAATGAACTTATCAAATTCCTCGCACTTAAACGTTTCTTGTCCTCTAGCAACAAATTTGAACAGTTAAGGATATGAGATTTCCTTGGTATCTCTGAAAAGAGCTTTAATATAAATTATTGTTGGACTTTGGGCCGAAATGAAATTTGTTTTGATAACTAATATCACAATTGGATAAATTTCATAAAGATAAGTCTAATATGTTGACTTATTGTTTAATCTTGATTGAAAACCAGAGTATAGACCCAAATTAAGAATTAATAAAGAATTTGTTTATGATGTTAACTTTTAAATGATTTATTGAAATAAATCAAGAGAATAAATAATATTAATCAAATGTGAGAACCTTTTTAAATAAAGGTCAATTAAATCATTTTTGGCTCTATCAAAGTCAAACACCCAAAAATACGTTGTCGGAAAAAAAGTATTACAAATAAATATAAAAATTATATCATTTGATAGAGTTTGACTGTCTAATAGCAACGATGCAAATGGATTTCAATTCGGAGAAAGTTGGACCAAAGCGTGTACCGACTAGGACCAAAATTAGTCCCAATCAGGGAAGATGTGTAAACGGCACTAGGGGTGGGTTCGGTTTTAACGGTTCGGTTTTTACCTAAAACCAAAGACAGAACGGAAGGCATTTTTGCGGTGCGGTTTGGTTCGATTTTGTAAAAAAAAAGAGAAAACCAATCGTCATATGGTTCGGTTTTTAGCGGTTTGAATTTCGGTTTTTTTCAATTCATTCGGTTTTCAAAAAATTTAATTTAAAAGTAAAATAATATTTTAGGTAGAGACCTATTATTAAATAGATATGCCAAACAATTGGTAGAGAGTAAAGTTTGCAAACCTACAAGTAAAATAATAAATAAACTACAATTACAAGCAAAAAAACTAAGAGAAATGTTGTAATTTGCAGTAAAAAACTGTAAAACTGCACTAGCTGGCAGCTGCCTGGAATTATTCCTGGAACCAGTTCCATAAATTTCGAGTAGCTGCCTGATAGTATCATCACACCCACTAACACAGCCTGCCACAAAATGGAAACACACAACATAAGTCCATAACCTAACAATTAGTTCTACTCCGTCAATCAAGCAAGATTTGAGGGGTCTAACTAAAATTGCAATTATCTTTCCAAAAACTGCAAGTATCAACCCAAATTAAAATGGTAGGCACATCTTTGAGATGCAAGAATCAATATTCAATATTAAACCTGCAAAAAGAACATTTATATGCATTCCAATTAGCTAGGATATACTATTAAAAATTGAACACAATACCAAAAAAATAGTGTTGCCATAACTAATAGACCTAACCTTCTTCGTTTATCTTGTAACTTTTGGAGGCAATTTAGACCCTTCAAGTCCACCTTCATTTGAAATTTCTAAACATAAAAAGTAAAAACACAAGAAATATTATTGCCAAAATAAAGTCATAAAGGAATAAATTTTAGAAGAAGGAAATTCATTCTAAAAGACTAAAAAAAATCACCTTTCTCAAGTTCTTCATAAAATTCCATCTCTTCAATTGTAGGCTCGTGATGTAAAGCAACATGAGTACTCTTAAGCCAATTTTGTGTGCAAATTAAGGCCTCAACCATTTTGTGGCTCAATGAACTACGAAAACTTCAATTCCTATGAAAACACAATACCAATTCAGAACTAGAAAACTTCTGCAAAATATGAGAGTTATACACTTATACAAGAGAAAACTTCAATTCCTAGAATGATTTGATAAAAAAAATTGAAG